AGTTGAAATAAATAACTGAGCCAATAAGAGCAGTCAGTAAAATTTCATTTATTCATTCATTCACTCATTAAGTAAACATTTACTGAGTAAGCCTACTGTGTGCCAAGCACTGTTTGCTAGTCATTAAAGCACAGGATCTAGGTGTGTTGTTCCCTCCTTTGCTATCAAGGAAAGTAAAGGATACATTTACCTAGCATTCAGGTGGTGTTATTTAACAGGAAGACAAATTATCCTATCCATTTGAACACAATTATATAAAGAGTTACCTACCTTTTATCTTCAAATAAAGAATTATGGTACACCACAGAGAATGATTTCCTTCTTACATATGATTATGTTGAGCATGCTCTGGTACGGTGGTTCCAAACACCACTAAATATAGTGAGTTTTGCATGCAGCTCCAATTTTCTTCATAGGTCTTACTACTATGTAAGTCCAATAGTGCATAGGTTGCTGGCACTGTTGATATTAATTGATCCAGATGATTTTTTGTTCTGAGGGGTTGTCCTGTGCATTGTAGGATGTTTAGTAGCATTGGTGGCCTCTACCCACTAGAAACCAGTAGCACCCTCCTCCCGCCAGCTTTGACCAAAAATGTTTTCAGACATTGCCAAATATGGGGGGAGGGCAAAATTGTCCCCTATTGTGAACCACCACTTTAGAGAAACATCTCAGAGACAGAGAGAGTGATTGTAGACAGAAGATGAGGCCAGATAAAACAATGATCTTTCTTTTATAACTGTAGACTTCTGGTTTAGTATATACTCAAGTACATCAACCTTGATGCTACTGGTCTACCACCATCTTAAAGTCAAATGTCTTCCAGTCCTAAATCTAAACTGAAGTAAGGGGAGAGAAGTCGTCCTATTAAAACAACTCACAAAGAACACAAAGTTAACAATTCTGCCAATCTTTTCTTCATCTTCTACTTAAAAGAACACCACGGTCATCTTTTTTGTTAATTACCTAGCATAATTTCAGAAGTTTTGACAAATATTTGAATATTTATTATGTGCTAGACATAGTTCTAGGTGAAGAAAGATTAATGCATCAACTACATTTACTGAATTGAAAAATCATTCTTATAAACAGCATTTAACAGGTAAATCTTTGTGACCTTGGATGTGGCAAACAATTCTTAGACATGACACCAAAAGCATGAGCAACAAAAGAAATAATAGGTAAACTGGACTTCATCAAAATAAAAAACTTTTGCACTTCAGAGCACATCATCAAGAAAGTGAAAAGACAACCCACAATATAGGAGAAAACAGAACATACTCTTACAACTTAATATGACCCTTACAACTTAATAATAATAAAAAAATAACCCAAATAAAAAATGGTCAAAGGATATGAATAGACATTTCTTCAAGGAAGATATACAAGTGTCTTCAAAAAGTTCATGGAAAGATTCATATTATCTTTTAATCCCATTTTTCCACAAACTTTTTGAAGAACCCTCATAAAAATGACCAATAAGCACATAAAAAGATCCTCGATATTGCTACTCATCAGGGAAATTCAAATCAGTACCACAATGAGATACCACTTCACACTCCTGAATGGCTATAATCAAAAAGTCAAATAATAACAAATCTTGGCCAGGATGTGGAGAAACGGGAACCCTCACTGTTGGAGGGAATATAAAATGGTGCAGTCACTTTGGAAAATAGTCTGGCACTTCTTCAATTAAATATAAAGATACCAGCAATTCCACTCCTAGGTACATACCCAAAAGAAATGAAAACATATGTTCACACAAAAACTTCTATATGAATGTTTATAGCACCATTGATCATAATAGCCAAAAGGCATGATCGATTCAAATGTCCACCAATAGACAAAAGGATAAACAAAATGTGGTATAGTCATCAAATGGAATATTTGATCATAAAAAGGAATGAAGTATTAATACATGCTACAACATGGATGAACCTTGAAAACACATGAGTGAAAGAAACCAGTCACAAAAAGACAAATACTACATGATTCCGTTCATATGAAATGTCCAGAATAGGGAAATCTATAGCAATAGAAAGTAGATTAGTGGTTGCTTAGGGCCGGCAGGGAGAGGGTGAGAAATTCGGGAGGGGGGGGGGGGGGGGGGAAGGGGGTCACCCGAAAAGGGGAGGGGGTTTTTTTTTTTT